TAAAATAACACACACACACACACACACACACACACACACACACACACACACACACACACACACGAGGTCCTACTCCAGCTTCCCAAGGACTGGAGCTCCATATATGAGCCCCCAATCACCCAGGTTTGGCTTTGGCTTCACTTCTTTTCTGAAATATTGTCTCTGGATGCATCCCAGGCTTTTCCTATGTATTATCATGTTGTATTCCCTCCAAGTTGGACCAGTGCAGAAAGCAACCCAGAACAGATGAGAGAGGTTTACCCCGAAGAATCCATAACATTGTGTGTTAAGGTTTTTTTATTTTGTTTTGATGTTAGTTTTTGCTCTTGAGCTAGGGTTTCATTCTGTAACCTCGGCTGGCCTCAAACTTGTGGCAATACTCCAACTTCAACCTCTTGTTAATGTTTTTTAAAAATGCTTAATCAGCAGGGGAGCACACCTTTAGTTCCTGCACTCTGGAAGCAGAAGCAGGAAGATCTCCATGAATTTGAGGTTAGCCTGGTCTACATGAAGAGTTCCAGGACAGCCAGGGCTATGTAGAAAAACCCCTGTCTAAAAAACAAAACAAACAAAAAAGAGCAATTCTAATGTCTTACAATTCTCCTTCTGCCTTTTTATCATTAAATTCTCTAAAGCTTTAGTCCTAGGCAATTGCTAATGTTTTCTTTCACTAAAATTTAGTCATTTTGTGGAATGTCATATAAATAGAAAATACAGTGAGTAGATATGCATAGAATTGTAATGAAAATAAGAACATTAGCTAGGCAGTGGTGGCGCATGCCTTTAATCCCAGCACTGGGGAGGCAGAGGCAGGCAGGTCTCTGTGAATTGAAGGCCAGCCTGGGCTACAGAGCGAGTTCCAGGACAGCCAGGGCCGTTACACAGAGAGTGAAGGTACTGGCTGCCCAGCCTGACAACCTGACTTCAATCCCCAAGACCCACATGGTGGATGGAGAGAACTAGCTCCTAAAAGTTGACCTCTGACCTCTGCACAAGCACTGTGGAACATATGTGTCCTTTCCTAAATAAAGGCAATGTCCCGGAAATGTAAAAATATAGTGAAATGTTCTGGTTTTCCTTTCTGCGTGATTCCAAATGCCTTATGCAAAGTTTGTTCAGTCGAGGAGTTGCTCAGTGTCGAGCCCATGCTTAGCACATTCAGAGCCGTGGTTCAGTTCTCAGCTCGTCCACACAAACATAAAAAACAAAACCAAGGGGTTGGCCCACGGTCGAAAGAGTGGTGTGCAGAGGGGCTTGTAGCCCTTCTAACTCTGCTCTCACATCAGCATACTCAGGACAAAGGCCCCTCAGAACTGGGCTTTCAAAAGGCCCGAGTCAGCCTTCGCTCAGTGGTAAAATGCTTGCTTAGCATGCGCAAGGCCCTGGGTTCAACTCCCAGCACTAAAATGATTCGAAAATACTTAATTCTATTTTTTGTCAGCTCTTCTGGAATTTGATTCCTTCTGAGTTTATTCGGTCCTAGCTTTCTTCACCGTTCACTGTGGGAGGATGAGCATAAGGGTTGCTTGACTGTGATCCACATAAAGAATTGAATCTTGAGGCCTGGGGGTGTGGCTTAGCATGGGCAGGGCTCTGGACTTGGTCCCTAACTCCAAGAATAAATAAAACAAATGCTTCATGACTCAGCGTCCAACACACATACATAAACACAAAACCAATACACACATTTCAGGCAATAAAACTTCCTCTCCATATATGTGACACACTTGGATAATTTTTCTTTTTAAAATGCCGGTTATGGTCAAATTGATTTTCTGGCCCACTGATGAGTCACAATCTAGTTTGCTAAAGTATCAGCTTGGGTTTTAGCAAAGCACCGAGTCTCTTGGGGCCTCCCCCTCTGAATTCAGGAAGCTCTTTCTGAGGGTGAGCTGGGGCATGCAAGCAGCTGAGTTACTGGACACTTTCCCCTGGGCTGTGTGTGGTTGTGGGTTGTCGTTTTTCAGGGAGTAGGTCTTGGTGGCTGTGGTGGGAAGGGTTGGTGAGTGATGAGACCCAGAGGTACTGCTCTTGACTTAGCTGTCCAGTGAACAGGTAGCCTTTGGAATGTTGGTATCCCGCCTTGGGAGGTGGGAGGTGGGTCAGCTCTGCGTTGACCAATCAGAAAAGGGTATTGGGGATGGCTAGCAGAAGCTACCCTGAGCCACCTGTCTGACAGAACTTGTCAGAAGAGCCCAGAGGTGCCCAGGCAAAGGGTGCCCACAGCTCCCTGTGCTGGGTGAGTGCTGGGGAAACCCTGTAGGAGGCTCAGGGTAAGTGGAGGCAGTCTCCACCAGGAGGCAACATAATCCGTGTGTGTGTGTGTGTGTGTGTGTGTGTGTGTGTGTGTGTGTGTGTGTGTGTCTAAAGAGACTAGAACAATAAGTAAAGGGAAGGATGGAGATGGTTGTAACTGGGGTTGCTTGTTAGATAAGCACAAGGAGAGGTTTGTCCAGGTCATTAGCTGGGAACATGGAGACAAAGCAATCTGGTACAGTATGTGGGAGAGCTGTGGCCAGCCATTCTATGTGGGGATCTTCCTGGCCCCGCCTCAGTCTGGCACAGGAGGCCCTGTGATCCCAGTCGGGTGGGTGCCCGCTCTTTATGTGGCTACTTAATTCTCTTTCCAATCTATGACGCGAATGACAGAGGCCAGGCTTTGAGAACAGGCCGGACTGTCTTTGCACCCCCACCCCCATGAAGACTTTAACCCTTTCTCAATCTAATCAAAATTAATGAGAGAGACTTAGAAAGTTATGATGGGAAAAATACTAGCACCAGGTCACACTTTGCAGTTTGTTTGTTTAGTTTTTGGCTTCCGAGAATCTTATGTAGCCTTAGGATAGCCTAGAACCCAAAGTGTAGTGGAGAACAGCTCCTGCTCCTTCCTACCCCTGCCTCTCAAGTACAGGCAGCACCGGGGCGGCCCGGGGTTCATAGGCTACTAACAGTCCTGACCTTTCAGGCCTGGAGTCTGAGGCCTCACCTAACCGAGTGAGCACTGCAGGCCTAGGGGAACTGGCTGTGCAGTTTCTGCCTCCCACCTGCTTCCCAGCATTTATGACTTATGAATATTCATGAGGTAGCTTTAGAATGCAAAGTTTCGAGGACGCTTTTTGCTTCCTGGTCTGCAAGTGTGTGTGTGTGTGTGTGTGTGTGTGTGTGTGTGTGTGTGTGTGTGAAGAGGATGTTGCCCTGGTGTTCCAGTTCTCAGGGAAAGGCCATTTTTAAGATTTCCCTTAGGTGTAGGAGGGATTTAAAGTCGTAATGAGTTCAGTCTTGAAAAGGATTAAGACTATAATTTCTAGGTCATTTTATTTGCGTTTTCCTTTGTTCAAATGGCTACCGTATTCCTGCCTTCTCTCTCTTTCTTTCCACTCTCTTTACTTTCTTCAAGGTCTAATGTAGCCCAGGCTGGCCTCAAACTTGCTATGGAGCTGAGAATGGCCTTCAACCCATGATCCTCTTGCTTCCACCTCCCAAGTGCCGGAGTTGCAGGCATAAATCACCATGCCCTACCCAACCCCAACCCTCCCACCCCCACCCTGCGTTCTTTCCTTCCAGTTGCCGAGCGGGGCAGTTACAGGTGTGACTCTGATAAGCACACAAGCGTGGAATCCATTTCCACAGACCCTTGCAGTTTTCTCTCTACAGTCCCACAAAGGCCCACAGTTCCTTTTTTCCTTGGTCTGGAATATAGGTCAGAACATTTTCTTCGGAGAAGGAGCCCATTTTGAGAGAGGTGCGCCCTCGCTCCTTTGAAACATCCCTTTCATCCTCAGCTGCTCCGGGTAGTCAAAGATGCTGCCAGCTCTCTTCCACACGGTGGCTAGTCACACATCACAATAATAATATACCCCCCCCACCCCCGCCCTCCAGCAGCAGCATGTTTGAGAGGCTAAACCAGTGCCGAGTTCACCTGGAAATACGTCATCCTGATTAGAATGGTGGCGGGCAACCTCGGTGCTTTAGAACGGCCTGGAAGCTAAGTCAGAATGTCCCCGGCAGGAGACCCCTGCAGGTGTTCCAACATGCAGTTAGGGCGGACTCCTGCAGGGGCCAGTCGCGCAGCCGTCGGTTCGTTCCAACTAGGTCCCCCCCACACCACCACACCTTTGTTTTGTCTCCTCTTCCTAACACGGTAAATTGTAAACACTCCACCCCAGCGCTACGGCGGTAAGAAAGGACTAGGGGCTGGGGGAGGAGGGGCTGACGGGGAAGGAGGGCATTTGATGGCTATACAGAAAGTACTTTGCCCTGGAAACACGCTCATTCGCTTCTGAAACGAACGCCGTGCTCCGGAAGTCTTTTTGCCCTTCCCTTGACTTCCAGGGGGGGACCAACATAACCATCCCTTTGTTAACGATCTACAGAGGCTGACTTGCGCCGGGTCCTCCGCAGCCAGGGGCACGTGCATGCCTACGGGTGTGGGGCATGGCATCTCTGGCCTGTTTACCGAGCTCTGTAGGCGAGCGCCGGCGCCCTCTACTGGACGGAAATAAATGTCCCTCTGAGTGTAACAATTGTCGCCCTGTGGATGAGCTAATGGATTCACATTGAGCTCGCAGAAAGGACACGGTGTCGTGGGGATCCCGGGGCAGTCCTCTGACATCTGGCATACCACCGGCTTGCCTAAGGATGTTATTTCTTTGATTGGGGTGGGGGCGGGATAAGAGCATAAAGATAATGGGACGGTATTGGCTGAGAAACTGAGTGCTGTGTTTCTCAGTCTTTGGGGCGTGTGCTTATGGTGCATGGTTATCAGCCGGTGGGGCGTTGTGCAGTAAAGGAGACACGGATACTGGGGTGTAGCTCCCACTAATTAAGAGAGCAACGCGTTTAAAGGCAGGCAGATTTGTTCCAAGAATCTCATATATGCCAGAAAGGCAAGGAAAGGCATACACAATCGAAAGATGTGATTTTTTTTTTAAGGTGTCAAGACACAAAACCTTTTGCTTTAAGAGATTTGCACACCCAGGGGGAGATTTGATGGTACTTACAGACTGGGGCTTCACATCCGCATCTGCCTCGCCGGTGAGAGCTTGCCTGCCCAGATTGGCTGGTCCTCAGGACACAGGTGCTGCTGTTGTGGCTGCGTGCATCCTAAGTGTGGCGGCTCCACCTTCCAGCTAGAATCCCAGCAAAGGTTCTCATCCGGAGGCCCCGAGGCACCCTTCTTTCATCCTTATGGCTTCCCTCGTTCTCTCGGGGTCCAGAGCAGCGAGGAAGGAATGAAGAATTAGGGGTCTGTCACCGTCTGTCGGTTCTCAGCGCTGCATCTCAGCTAGGGCTGCAGAAGTCAGTGCAGCAGCGGAACTGGCTAGGGCTCCTCACGGTTGCCACGGTAACCAGGAGCAGGCGCCTGCCCTGGTGGCTGAGGAAGGCTGTAGAGAAAAGGTAACGGGTAAGCGATGACGCGTTGGCCTCTCTCCTGGGCATCGGTTCAGCCTCAAGTGACCCAAATGAAATGAAGTCCCAGATAACCCGTTCTTTAGACCCAAACCCAAACCACACCACAGCTGCGGTCTTTTTTCTCTTCACCAGTCAACACGCAGAGGGACATGTTAAGGATTAGAAATTCCAGCACTCTCCGAGACTTCCTGCCCCAAAGGAGCCTGCTGTACACAGAGCGGAATGTTTGCTAGGTTCGTTCTTGAAAACAGAACTCCCAGCGGGGACAGCTGTGGGTGAGCTGGCGGAGCTAGAGTAGGGACCAAGCAAAGGATGGTGATGAGCGGTCACTTAAACTCTCTGACCTATAATATGAAGACACAAAGATGTCTTAGAAAAAGCTTTATCAAACTAAGTTGTTCATGTTACTATTATGATCATGATAATGGCAAATGTAGGTTATGATCCCCAAAGACACAATCCCAAAGGCCATAATCCTTAGTGATAAAAATACCTCTAAATTCTAAAACCCTGAAAGACTAACACCTTAACAATATAATTATTCTGGAAAAGAATTCAATTTCTTTTTCTTCTTTCCGTTTTAAAAGGCAGGGGTCTCAATCAAATACACATGGCTGGCCTTGAACTTGCACTATATTAATAATTAAGAGTGAGTTTGAGCCGGGCGGTGGTGGCGCACGCCTTTAATCCCAACACTCGGGAGGCAGAGGCAGGCGGATCTCTGTGAGTTCGAGGCCAGCCTGGGCTACCAAGTGAGTTCCAGGAAAGGCGCAAAGCTACACAGAGAAACCCTGTCTCGAAAAAACCAAAAAAAAAAAAAAAAGAGTGAGTTTGAACTCATGACCCTCAAACAAACAAAAACAACAATTAAATACTAGGGAGAAAATATTTTAAGTGAGGAACTGAGAGGGTAATTCAATTGGTGGGGCGCTTACCTAGTATGTATAAGGTCCTATATCCAACCATGGGAGGAAAAGAAAACAATTACTAAAAACAAAGTGGACAAATAAAAAAGTGTACTTCAGGAATAGATCAAGCCTGTTATAGTGGTGCGTGCCTTTAACCTGAGCACTTGGGAGACAGAAGCAACTCAAAGACAGAACTTTTTGAGTTCAAGGCCAGCCTGGTCTACATAGTGAATTCCAGGACAGCCAAAGCTAAACAGTGAGACCCTGTCTCCAAAAAACCAACCAACCAACCAACCAAACAAACAAACAAACAAACAAACAAACAAATAATTAGTAGATCACAGGACTGAGGCAAAGGCTCAGTGGTTAGGAGCACTGACTGCTCCTCCAGAGGAGCTAGGTTTGATCCCTAGCACCCACACTGTGGCTAACAACTATCTATAATTCCAGTTCCAGGAATCCAATGCCCACTTCTAGCCTCCGTGGACAATGGCGTGCACATAGTGCACAGATATCCATGCACGTGAAACACCCACACACATAAAACAAAACACAAAAACAAAAAGAGAGACCAGATCAAGGGGCTTGTGAGGGTCAGCAAGGGGAGACACGAGTTGCCAAGACTGACAACCTGAGTTTGGTTTCCACGACCCACGTGGTAGAAGGAGAGACTGGAGCCCCAAGTCCTCTGATGTCTCCACACTCCCCACAAAATAAATAAAATTAATAAAAATCATTGAACATAGATCAGGGGCCATGTCATGAAAGTAGTCCACAAAAGCTGGCTGATTTCCACGATCATTAACTATACATCCTGTGTCGTGGTGATGCATGCATCTCCCGGGATTATCCATTCCCATCCATTTTCCACGTGGCATGGCTCCTTTGAAAATTCCTCTATGATTTTCATGCACCCTGATGGGAGCATTCCCTCCTGAGTGTTCTCTCTCCCGGGCCTGCTTCTGTGTTGTGTTGGGCATATGGCATCCATTCCGCGTGCTCTCGTATACAGACCACGGATTTGGCAGGAGCAGAGCTGGCGATTGAACAGGAGCAATATTGCTTAAGTGGCTTCTTGTCCTACTGTGCACATAATTATTTTCCCACCGCTTAGACACTTGGCTGACTTCTTCAGGCGAACGCAGCTTTTAACTCATTAAAAGCTCCTGGAATTCCATCAGCTGGGTGGAATGCCAGTGTAGATAAATGATCCTTTTTTTTTTTTTTTTTTTTTTCCTTCCTGAGACAGGGTTTCTTTGTGTAGTCCTGGCTGTCCTGGAACTCACTCTGTAGACCAGGCTGGGCTCGAACTCAGAGAGATCCACCTGCCTCTGCCTCCTGAGTGCTGGGATTAAACCATACCTGAATTATTTTTATTTTTTTCTATTCTTTTAAAGACAGAGCCTGTGTTGCCCAGGCTGATCTCAAAGTTGAATTTTCTTGCCTCTGCTTCCCAAGTGTTTGTTTACATGCAGTTCTCATAGCTCTTTCCTTAACCAACTGACTCTCCACCAAATGCATTGGGCTGAATGGGACCAAAAAAAAAAAACAAAAAACCACCTTTATTGATAACACCTTGAAATACACTTACCAAATGCTTGCTCATACCTAATTCTGAATCGTTCATTATGGTTTGGAGATTCATTTGAAATCTTCCCTTTCTTTTTTTCTACAAAACTCACCAAACCTTCAGACTAAAATTTATAAAGTGATTTGCTATATAGTCATTAATACGTAATTGAGTAAAAAAATTTCAAAATTTTCAGATGCGTGGGACAGGAATTGTTTGCATCTGATAAAAACAGTGGGGACAGTTTGGGCCAAAGCGGAGCATGCGTTAGTTCTTCTATGTAAATTGTTGGGAAATGGAAGAGGCCTTTCTGCTTTGGTAGTCAGATGCCCGACTGCCTGCGGTTCACCGTTTACCGAGCGGCACACGCAAAGGAAGCCCTGTATCAGCTGCCGGGGGCTTGTCCAGTTCTTCTTAGTCTCCCATAAGGAGCGTTTTTTGTCCTTTTCTTTTTCTTGAGTCAGGGCTCTGGAGGCTGACCCCAAACTCACCAGCCTCCTGCCTCAGCCTCCTGAATGCTGAGATTGCGTGTCACTACAGCCAGCTAAGGCAGCATGGTGTTGTGAAAAGGGCAGAAAGTAGGAAGAAAGTAAATAACTTGACGATTGTCTTGTGTGTAACTGAGACCGCACCGATTCAGTCTCAGAATTCAGTTTTCTATACTTCTCATGTAGCTCTCCTTCTCACCAGGAGCTGTTCTGACTTTCAGAATTTCAACCCCTGGGACTCTAGTCTCTCTCTCTCTCTCTCTCTCTCTCTCTCTCTCTCTCTCTCTCTCTCTCCTTTTTTTAAGACTTATTTATTTATTATGTATACAGAAGAGGGTGCCAGATCTCATTACAGATGGTTGTGAGCCACCGTGTGGGTACTGGGAATTGAACTCAGGACCTCTGGAAGAGCAGTCAGTGCTATTAACCTCTGAGCCATCTCTCCAGCCCCTCTTCTTCTTTTTTTGTTGTTATTTTTGTTTTTGTTTTGAGACAGAGTCTTATTATGTAGCCCTGACTGGCCTGGATCTCACTCTGTAGACCAGGTTGGCCTCAAACTCAGAAGTTTGCCTGCCTCTGCCTCTAGTGCTGGCATTAGAAGTGTGTGCCACCAGGAGTTGGTTTTGAGACCAAGTCTGGTTGGCTTTGAACTGCTGATCTTCCTGCCTCCACTTCCCAGGTCCTAGGATTACATATACCTAGGACTGTCATTTTAGAAATTTTAATCTTTGAGGATTTCAACTTTCAGGATTTTGGCATTCAAAATCCACCCCCCCCCCCCCCCCCCCCCCCCCCGAGGCTTTGATGAGCAATGGATGAGGTGACAGTGACCATGGATGTTGGCACCTGGCTCCATGCAGGTGGGTTATAATTGAAGAGCCCCTTCTAGGGTTCAACTCATATACTTCTCTCTAGTCCTGGAAGCATGCCTTGGTGCTGGAGCCCAAGTAGTCCCCTTCAGGCTCCCAAACAACTCCCTGAATTGCCATGGCTCATGGAACCTGAAAGAAAATCTGCCAAACCCTGAAATAAGTGAGACGGAAGATGGGACAGTTTTAAACACATTCTCACAAGCACATGCTTAATATGGTTGTGGCACTGTAGTCAGAGAGGAAAGGAGCCTCGTAGAATCTTGTTTATAAGGTCATTGACCTCAGTACTACACCCAGCCGAGGCTCCGCTGGAGAAAGCAGATGGTTCAGCAGAACTTTCTTTCAGAAGAGGACTGACCCTTGCTCAGTGAGAAAGAGGATCTTCCTGTCTCCACTGGGCATTTTTATCTTCACATATGTTCCCTGTGTTTCCATAGGTGTCAATGTGAGTTTGGCATTGACAGGTTCAGGGCCATGGCTCGGGTGATCCCCGCTCCGCGTCAGTGTCTGCTCTCCCTGGGAATAAGCAGGTGCTTAGCTCCAGGTCTAGAGTGAGGGAAAGGAGCCTGTTTTGACTACGGGCTGACAATGCGTCCCTGGCCTTTCTTGATTCTGCCATTAATCCTCTTGTCAGACTATAAAACTTTACATTTACTAATTACAGATTAAAAGCCTAAGAGCACAAACAAGAAGTGACTTGCTTGTGAGTGAGTCACTTTTATACAGCAGGGTAAGTGATAATCCTAGAATTCCTACCCACATCGATTGAGTACCACCTGGAGATGCCCTGCCTGTTGAGCCGTCCAGGGGCCCTAGAGTATGCTGGGAAAACTCCCTGAAACACTAGAGTCTCTGATCATTTCTCTCCCTTTCCTTATGAATTTCATCTATTTACTTTATTATTTTTTAACTAAATTTGAGCCAGGAGTGGCGTCACATGCCTTTAATCCCGGCACTTGGGAGAAAAGCAAGCAGATCTCTATGAATCCAGGGTCAGTCTAGTCTACACAGCAAGTCCCAGACCAACCAGGGATACATAGTGAGACCCTGTCTCTCCCCTTAAAAAAAATTAAATGCTTATCTAAGAAAATTTGGGAAATAAAGAAAAAAAGCTGGGCATGGTAGTACACACCTGTAACCCCAGCACTTGGGAGGTAGAGGCAGGAGGATCAGAAGTTCAAAGTTATCCTCAGCTACCTATCCAGTGAGTTTAAGGCCTACCCAAGCTTCATAAAACCCTGTCTTTTTAAAAGAAAAAATGTATGTGTGTAGCG